ATAATAAATAATTATATTATGTCCTTCACTTCTGTTTAATTTTCTCCTCTTAAATTACATTTTTTTTCTCATTACATAATTTCTAAGGGGGAGCCAAGTTTCAAAGGCCGCACGTAATGTACATAAATTATGAAATAAGCTCCTTCTATACTTAAACTACATTGAAGTACAATTACAAAAAGATTATGAGTACTCCCTTGTTATTATTTTTAATCCAGCTGATGCCTCTTGAATGACATTAACATTAGTATTAAAATTAGTAATTAACATTACTATTAAAATTGTTAATTTAATGTTGCTTTCAATTAAAGCTAAATGAATTTCACCATATCACAGTTTCTTAGCTAAGAAATAAATTAAATCCTACTAAATCCAAAATGAATCCATTGTGAAGCATAGTCACTCATATCAAATATAGTGGGTCACATTTATTTTTTATTGCTATTATTCATTTATCTACAGGATATTTAAAATTAACAGATAGTTTAAAACTAAAGAATTATGAAGATAATTAAAGCTAGAAAAAGATATTTATACATCTCAATGCATAAAATTTAAATTTGATTAGGTATAATTTCTTTCTTACATGTTTATTGAATTTTTCTTAGCATTGTTCTAAGGCATTAAATAAATCCGTGGGTGATAAATATTCAGGACGCAATCATTATAAGGTTTTTAGTAGTGTCGACGTTTCAATCCAAACATGTGGTTCATCATCAGGACGTGGTTTGAGCATTGAAGATATTACAATACTCATCAGTATTGATATGTATATGTAGAACAGTCAACTAACTTCCTTCAATAATTCCTTAAATAAATTCATGTGAAATATTTTCACACTCTGCCTAATCTTCAAATATTTCCATCAAAGAAATTAAGCTTCTCATTTCTCTTTTGCGATCAATCGCTCAGCTGGGTTTAGATTTGTTCATGATGATAACAACTTTATAAACCTCACATCAGAGCAAGGTCCATTTAGAAAATATATGTTTTTTTTTTCATAAATATTAATAGCTACATTTTATAACTTAATTGCTGATAGTAATGAAGATGCTCATAACACAATTTTGATGCCCCTCTCTTGGTAAAGAGCATATGTGGTGAGTAAATCTTTTTATCATTAGAGGCAGCATTTAGGTTAGGCTGGTAAAAGGAGGTCACTATATTTTGTTTTATATTTCACTATTGGTATTTTTGTTTGTTTAAGCAAATATGTACATAGGAATTTTAATTTTCATATAGCCATTATCTAAGTATTTAAATATTGATATATACCTCAGTTTACATTTATGAAAGGCCCATGTTCCCCATCAATGATGTTGGAATTTACTTTTCAAAATGTGTACTATTTAAATTAAATTGATCTCTGTATTGTAAGTTTTTACTTTCTAGAACAATTTTCTATTCAAGGATTTCATAAGAGAAAATTGATATGTATTAAATAGATCTAATAAGATTATAAACTCAATATCGGGTGCCAACAATGGAAACAAAGGAAAAATGAAGCCGTACTTCTGTTAAGAGGAAGCCAACATCAAACACTTCTTGACAGTGACATGACTCCGTCACGGTGGAGTAACACTTACTTTCCTCAGATTAAACTTTTCTCAGAATTGTTATGAACAGGTCCTACCTAGTCTGTCCCTTTTAAATAATTTTACACCCACCGAACTTAAACCCAATCAGAACTATCCTTGCTCCATTCTAGATTATTGTATAAAATCACATAGAAGTAAGGACAGAGGGTCTTATGTTAGCTTCTGCCTAGGGAGACGGAGTGTGCAGCTTGACTAACTCAGGCCTGACTAATGAATGGGCTCCTCCTGACTTATAACTTTGCAGTGTTTGGACCTTGACTTTGACTTTGATTGGAGCAGATGACATCGAACCAACATATGCAGTGATGGAATCTCGAAGACTATCAACACCAACTAACCACATCATTTCTTAAACCTCAGATAAGTTTAATTCCCAAACAATAGTGGATTAATTAATTTTAAAATATTTCATGGCATTCTCAAACGAGTCCATCTGAATTATATCTTCATGGAGTTCTTATTAAATATATGGAATCATGTTTTTATTTAGTTTAGAATAAATATAATTTGTACATCAATATTTCCATGTAATTTGTATATCATATATATATTCTTTATTCAATAAATTAAGTATTTTTAGTAAAGTTATTTTTAATTCTGCCACCTATTTATATGATTATTATCTCAGGTAATATCGGTAATTAGAAATCATGATAAAAGAAATCCCATTAATTAATTCTGGACCAATCATTATATTATAGATTCAAATTTGTTTTACTAATTTTTACTTTCACTTACCTACATATGTAGGTATATATATATATATATATAGTACGGGAAAATATTGCGATCGTGAACATTTTTGAATCTGAGTTTTCAACAGAAATACACGTTTTGAGGTACCCTGAGTCTAAATAACCAAGCCCCGCAAAACGGTCTGTGTGTTTGTATGTGGTAAGTCTAGCTCAAAAACGAAAGTTCATACGGAACTGATATTACGTATTTAATATAGGTGTATGCCTTGGATGTCACAGCAGTATTTTCATTAAAATCGACTAACTGTAAGTGGCACTTTATATCAACGGTTATACAAATTTTTAAAATTTTCTCAAAAACAGCTCAAACAATTTGGATTACACTCAGTGTATCATTGTATAATTAAGTGGTATTCAATACCATTGAGGTATTATCTCCATTGATGTCACTTTACAGGGCTTAAATGCTGAAATGTTCAAACATGACTTCCTCTGAAGTACCTTTAATTTGGTTTATTTTAAATAATTAACCATCTCTCATTATTAAGTTACGAAAAATGCTAAATATAACTTTTGAAATATTTGATAATTGAAAAATGGAGAAAAAAGGGTAAATGTTTATTTGAGTCGAAAATCACTTTCCAGAAATACTAGTCAGAAGGTTTACATATAATATATCATTGGAAATTGGAGAATTTTAGAAAAAAAACAATATCTAATACAGAAAGTAATGGAGAGTGATGAAAAATTATAAATAATTTGTGAAAACTAATATTATTTAACTGAAATCACATGATTCCAAGGAAATTAAATGAAATTTATTAATTAAATGTAAACTTTTTTAAGTTTGAAAACAAGTATTTAAAATCCACTTAATCAAGTCAATTGCATTGTTTAAAAAACTATTTCATAGTACTTATGTGAAAGAAGAAGTGAAATATAAAAATATTTCATGGATGTATAAAGCATAAGTTCATAACCTTAAATACATTTACTGTACTTTAATAAATCTAGATCTGATATTTTATTAAAATAATTAGGTATCAACGTCCATTTATTCTGAAAAATTGTCATGCGACCTTTTTAAAAATTAAATTAGTGAATAATTTGATGAATTTTCCCTTTGTGAAAGCCAAACATTATCTGATTAAAAATCAGTGTAAAAACTTCTGACCTCTCTATGGCAGGTAATGAAAATCTCGTAATTTCTTTGTAGGTGTAAAAGTGCACTTCAAAAATTTTATAATTGCTCAACATTGCCCTGAAAATAATTTCTATTCAAAGTAGGAAGGTAAGCAAAAGTTGTGTTGCATGCAGCAGATTTTTTATTAAATATTTCTGGGTAATTATCACCAATAATCATCCAGACGCATCCCGAATAACTTTTCTCTAAAACATAGCAGAATGGTATTGCCCAAGATGTGTCTCACACAAGCATAGAAAAAAAACATTTTTACACTAGCTCCGCTACGTTTCCAAGCTTGATGTTTGGATCACCCAATCTCAATTTAAGTCAACACTACAAGCAGCAACAAATTGCATCCAAAACAGATTATGCTTTCCCTATTGTAGAATTTTAAGGGTGTTATTTTTTATGAGTTATTGCCATCAGGGGTAATAATTGATTTAAGATTATAAATCTCACATTTAACAAATTTGGATCAATCATTAGAAAAAATGACCAGAACTGGCAAATCAGAGGGGTGAAGTTTTCCACCAAGACTACGCTAGGCCCTGGACCTCTTTTGTCATTTGCAATGGGTTATTAAGCTTTGAATAGGAACTTTGAATGAGAACAAATAAAAAATAATAAAATTTAAAATCTCTAAAAGCTTAATCATATCATTATTATTATTAATTACACAAATCAAACGATTTGGCTGGTTAACCTGAAATTGAGCTGGTTGTACATAACAAACATTATCTAATAAAATGTATGCAACACTCCATTGGTGTCTATGTTGAGACAATTGAAAAATGAACTTTAGATCCTCTGTTGCCGCTAAGATGACTGCTTTTCTTCCTTTTTTTTTTTGTAAACTGGGACCTAAATTTATTACATTTATGTGTGTGCTTAATATATAATTGTAATTTTATTAACACTTGTAATAATTTCATAATATTCTTCTGATATTTTTTCTTATTTAGATAACTGATATGGAGTTTTAATTTTAACTATGTACATAAAATAATTCAAAATAACATTAGTTTTATTTTTAAACATTTCATATTATAATTATTATTTTTATTTTGTTATTGTGGAGTGAGGGGCATGAATTTCAGTTTAGTGATTGTTCTTTAGATTTTTCAAGTTACTTTGAATTAAACATAGAAATTTTGTATTTTACACACTCCTACAAAATTTTGATAGCTGATTTGAAGAGTCATGAAAAACCTAAAAAACAATCACTAAAGTGGTGCAATTCACACACCAAATGCCAAAACAAAAATAATTATTGAAGAATTTTTTTAAATCATATAAAAAGTTAATATTGGATTTATTGTGTTATATGAGTCACCAGACTGGAGTATAAAAGTCGAATAATTTATATTGTGTTAATTTTTTATGAATAATTAGATGTGATCTAACAATTACAACATTAGAGTATGAAATAAAAAAAAATACTTATTTTATGAAATAAAAATATTTGCTCCAAAACCTGATAATTCATATTACACCTATATAATGATAAGAGAGGAAAAGGAGCGGTGATAGAAAAAAATACATAAAATTATCCAAGATACAGATCTTTATTAGGATCAGTACAAATTGGACATTACATCGTTTTGTTTTTTTTAAAAAAAAGAGAAACAATGATGAATGAAGCTGACAGGGTCATTTAAGAGCATGCATGATTGTTGCAACCATTACATCCCGTTCGAGAGGCAGCAATTCGAGCTTCCGTTATATTTTCATTTATATATATATTAATTCATCTTCATTTTCAATCAAGAAAAAAAAATCTGTTTCACTAATAACTAAACATTAAACCTATCAAATATATTAGTCCTCTGATGGTTTTTTTATTCAATAAAACCCAAAACACAGTTCTCAATGATTAACTTATCATTCATTACATTCACTAATACACTAATGCATATTTGCATGATCTTAAATGTCATGTCCTCTCTCTTGTAACTAAGATTTATCACGACACTCAAAACTGCCGATCAGTTTGCTTCGAAGCACTCCTTTTCTTTTCAGGCAACATCCGATTTATTAATATTCAAATTTCGACAAAATACAAATAGAGGAGTCGTAACAAGAAACAAAATTGATGAGAAAAAACAAAAGCATTTTCCTAACCAATAATGTTTCAGGGAAATTGTTTTACAAAATACATGTCATAACCGAAAAAATAAACAACATATCACTTTGTACATTAATAACAATTTCATATTCTATTTCAAGGTAGCTCATTATAATAATGATGATTAATCAAATTACAAAGAAAAAAAACTATTTAAGAGAAATAAACAAAATCTTTGGAATATTGAAGTCTTTGCCTTTGCGGTACAACTAATTACATAACTACTTAATCTAATGAAAATAAATACTTCATTATTGTAATCATATACTCATCCCTAGAAATATAATTTTGGAATTTTAATCATGGTATAGCTAATATTCAATTTTTTTTTTTAATCGACTAGCACCTTTGATTGAAGTTTAAATAATTTAACCAAACATAAATATTTTTAGGATAATAGACTACAGTACGGGGATGAGTATAGTCTGATAGTTACAAGGTATTTCAAAGCCATAGTACTATAATTTAACTACAAATCCAAACACACCTTTAACCTACATTATACTATTTAAATTTGAATTTGTTTAAAACTTCATTTCATAAAAAATAAATATATATTTTGAGAAAAATAATATCGGCTTAAAAGAAAAGAAAAAAAACTCGCTTTGTGCACTTAGGTCAAACCCTACCCCCCTCTTTATAATTTAAGTAACCAAACTACAATTGGATTTCTATATTGTATATAAAAATAAATATTACCATAAATATTGTTTCTATTCTTGTATTAAAAACTATGGGGAATCATTTATTTTTAGCATAGCATTATTAAAGAAATAAGGCCTATCCTGAATACAACAAATCTGTGGGCACAACCACAACTCTAATTGGAGGTAGTTATTTCACAGGCATTTATAATTTTAATTTTGTAAACAAGCCAATGCAGAACAATAATATGCATGTTTCCAATATTACCATAAAGTATACCATAATTAAAAGAATCCAAAATTAGAGGGAGAGGAAAACATTACATCGCACTAACAATAATATTGCACCTATTTTCATAAATTATTCCTATAATAACAACAGAGGTATAAAGTAAATAAATTAACATTAATTTATAAGATGATTTAAATGGAAAGACTTGTTAAGAATGTATACAATTAAATTTATTTAAAAAAAATTAAATTAAAAAAATAAAATAGAAAAGGTCACAGAAACCCTCTCACATAAAAACTCACAAGTTGTGATCCAATTATCCTACACGTACTCGCTACGGAATGATTTTACTAACTGTGGATTTCTGAGACATTTTATAGCTTTGATAATATAAAAAAATATATAACACTTTGAGGAGAGATATTATAACCTACAACACAATATTCAAAAAAATAAATAAAGAAAAATAAGATTAAAACAAGAAATTCTATCTCCATGTTATGACCCCAAGAGTTCCGTTTCCTTCCATCTTGACAAAAAACTTTTTCACCTTTTGGTGAAACTTCTTTTCAATGTCCAATGCACATCATATCTTATGACAAATTAATTAAAAAAAAAAAAAGGGGGAAAGTCAAAAGATTCTGGTTTTTTTATGAGAACAGAAATAAAAAAAATTTTACATTTTGTCTCTAATTTAGACAAGGGAATTTTTCCCTAATAAACCATTCTAATTCTAGAACGACCTATATTCTAAAAAAGTGTATACAAAATCTAAAGTTCATTTATTTCTATAATTTCCGGACACTTGGAGAAAGGTACTTTGGTTTTTTGTTATTTTCTTTCTTTTTCTTGCGGTCAAAGGAATATTACAAATATTGAGCTCAACATTGGCTAATGTATAATAAATTATTAAAAATATGTTTTGTTTTAAATTTATTTATATTAATGTTATCTGACATCCCTGGAACATTTCCTAAATCAAAGTTTGAATACTAGCACTTCTCAATCATTAAACCTACTTTATATCTTGTGTTCACAAAAACGGTTCAAAAATTCCTTCTTTTTTTTTTTCTTTTTTTTTATGCTTATTTAAACATAACACATATTTATGAAAAACCTAAATCAGACTTTTTAACAGTCGTTAAATTTTTAAGCCCGAATCCATTTTATTCTTTTCTGGAGAGTACAATCCTAATTACTAGCTTATTAATTATTAAAATTATTCTAAAAATACTATAAGCTAAACTAAGCCTACAGAATTTTTACAACATTTAAAAATAGTTTTTTTTATTTATTTTTTTTTTATTTTTAGGAATCTAACTCAGTGTGGAACCCTCTGCCCATGTGACCTTTTAGCCATTCAAAATAGGCTTCCAATTTATATCAAAGAAAAGAGTAGATGAAAAAAAAAACCTTTTTCTCGTTTTTATTTTAATATATTTAAATCACGCGTAAAGAGCTACACCTACGATTCCTAAAATCTACCACAAGACAGTACAAACATTGATTTAAACCAACTTACAAAAATTATGAAGCTTCAAAATGCTTTAGAAACACTCATTGTTACATCATCAACAATTCCAGTTAGTAATTTGTTAGAAGAAGCATTTTGTTACTACATATCACACCGTTCAAACTGGAAAAGAGGGGAGAAAAAAAAATACGAAAAACTCAGCAAGCGATATTACTTCGGATGCGGTAAAATTCAACAATGGCAGCAAATTAATTATGCCCAAAAAAGTTTTTTTTTTCTCTCACTTTAAAGCCTAAATTTAAAAACTATTCTCTACATTTTTACACTACAATCTACCGACTACTTTTCAGAAAAAATTGTTTCATAAAGATTTACTTCTTTACTTATCCTAAATATATATATTTATTATTAACTAACCTTAAATCTAAAGGTTATGCAAGATGCATAACCTTGGAGTTTTATAAAATTATTCAATTGTATGTCTTGTCAGTTGTGTTTCCACTTACAATAACAAACAACAGTAGAAACCGAATGGCACTGTTGTCAATTGATGTTCTACAAAAGCTTTAAGTTTTTTGAAATGCTCCAAAAAGTTAATATATAAATGTAATAAACAGCTGATTTTACTTTTTCAAATACAAAAGTTTCCAAGAAACATAAAATTTATTCATGAGTTTAATTATTTTTCAAATATTTTATTCTTCTTTTTGGAAGGGCTTTCAAATCATTTATTGAGCGAATGGAAAAAATAGGGCTCTGATGTACGATTGTTCAAAGCAAATTATCTACACCAATAATTGAGGAAATTATGAATATTAGGGAAGTGGCAAGCTAATATATTCTCAACTTACAATCAAGGTCTTTTACATGTTTAAAAATCACATTTTTTGATACAAAAATTAACCTATTCCCTATTTGAACGTTTGTGGTTCTTTCTACAATGACCCTCGATATTAAATTCTCTCGACAAAAGAGTCTTATTCTCCTTGTAGTATATTATTTAAGCATTTAGTAACCTTTAAAGCCAGTAAAACACACACATTTGCTACACATTTTCGATAAAAACTATTGTTCATAAAAAAATAGTGGTACTTTACTTGACTTGTGTCAAGGTTAAAAGTATCAAAATAAACAGTCCTCTTTATATTTTATATATCTATATATATAAATAGTGCTGTGATATGCCCTATGTTTGCTATTGTTTGGTCTGACCAGTTCGCCTCCTTTTGATTGTACTAACGGCCCTGAACAAAGTTCGGCATCATCGTTATAAGAGATGACAGGTGATTTGAGTTAAGAATTGAAAACAACTCTTGTTAAAGGCCCCGATTGAACACATGCACATCAGCGGGCAGGGGACGGACCGGCTAGAGGCCACATCAGCACACGCCTGGCACATCACAGCCTTGGTTCACCTTCAGTCAACTGCACCTCCTACTAGATTATTATTATTATTATTATTTGGCACTTCTTTTGGAACATTGTCTACGACAGGTACAACCCCCTGACGTGGCACATATTTTACCTATAAAATTGTATTTTACAATATATACTTTAAGAACATCTATCGGATTAATATAGTTTTTAGTATCAGAATAAGACACAGAATGTACAATTACAGTAATGATTAATATAAACAGATGCTTTATAAATGTAAAAAAGAAGAGAAAAAAAAGTTAATTGAACAGAAACAAAAGAAGAAAACCAAACAACAAGTTGGAAGACTGATGAATTATGATTCATCAATTTTTTTTTATTTTTAAATAATTGCTAGTCTGGTAATTTTCCATAATAAAAAATGCTCTAAACTGTTAAAAGCTTTAGACATTTCTAAGAAACACATTTAACATATACGTATTTACAACAGCACATCTTCCCTCATGTATTGTATTTCTTTTATATGCTGATAATTTTTGAACAGAACCAAATACATACATATATATATATATAAATATATACAAATATATTGTTTTTTTTCTTTTGGTATGAGAATAAAACATTTACAATACAATAAGTACAAAAGTTTATTTTTTTGTGAATTCAAGTGGAAAAATTAATGATTTTTCATCTATTTATAAAATGTAACCCTAGCAGGACGATTTTACACATATATTGAAGACAAATTATTAAAGCTGGACCAGAATAGCTAGCTATAATATTTTCTACAAACACGAAAGATATGAATCATTTTTAAATGGAATTTTAAATACACATATTACAAGGCTTAATATAATTTTTATAATATAATACACAAATAGGAAGGTGCAGTCAACGTTTATTTGTCATGTATAACAAGTGTTAACAACGAATACAAAGAAACAATTACTTTCTTTTTTTAATATTAATATCTACAATGCGACGAGACTAGCGAAATGGTCTCTTACCCATTTAAAAGTTAAAAGGAATGGAAAATACACTGACTACTTTCTACAAAGATATGAATTTTTCCAATTGTATAAACAGCTCAGCGTACTTTTTAAAAAATTATTTATATATAAATATTAAAAATTTTCAAATATCAACAACCAAATAAATAATAACAAACTTTTACTTTACTTATATCTTAAAAAATTTAAATGAATGTTTAAGGGCTGGGTTCTTTAAAATTTACAAAATATAGCCATGGGATTAATGCGAAAGGTCATTTTTTTCCAACAGTAAAGAAGAGAATTTGAATTAAATTTTGCACACTTGTTATTCTGTGTATTTTACACCTTTTTTTTTTGTATATATTTTTTTCAAAGTGACGAGCAACTATAGAATTCAGCTCTCGTAAAACTCTCTTGTAGAATAAATATATTAACTGTACACTACACATCACAATGCATGTAAGTTTTTTTTAAATATCAAGTTACGTCCACTATTACTGCGTAAATTTCACATCTGTATGATGAATTCAAAAATACAAACAATATGAAAAACTATTTTCATAAACTATTTTTACTCTTAAATATAAATCCTTCCTCAAATCACTTACAACAAACATAACACAAATAAAATCTACACAATAATTGATTATGAAAAAATAATTTAACAATTCAAATTGAGCCAATTGATTTATCTTTTTCTTTCATTAAATAAATGTTGATGGCATCTACTTTATGGCTCACTGTTAATATACATATACCGTACCAGAAGAATAATTCAAATACCGACTAATAACCTAATCGAGACCTCATTCGAAATTTAAAAGAAAGAAAAAATATATTAAAAATATTTAGTTAAGAATGAGAAACATTGAGCCTCAATTAAATGTTGTTTGTTACCTTTACAAAGCTACCGATGGAATTGCTCCATTGGTAGCCAATGAATGGTAACAATTCTTCAAATGCCAACCCGGGTGTGATTGGTATTCTCACCATCTGTGGGCCACGTGTGTAGCCAAATTAAATATATAGTTTCTTTCATTTTTTTTCAGTTTTCAATTTTTTTTTGTACTTTTTTTGCATTTTTTTTTATCTTCTCTGTGTATGTTGCCGCCACTGTATTAAAAATTGATATAAGGTAACGTTTTGGAGGCTAGAATTCATGACTGGAGTCTACCCTACTTCTGCGGCTGGGGCTGGTACTGGTAGGTGTCGTCAGGTGAAGCAGTGTTTGAATTGTGTTCATTCTCTGGTATCGGCATAGTGTGAATTATTGAAGGAGCATGTCCGTAGTATGAATATGGAGTCGCTGGCGCTGCAATGTACTGCAATTAGAAAATAACAAAATAAATATTATTTCAATAAAATAGATTAAAATAAAATAAAATTATAATACACGATGAATTTGTATAGCTTACAATTAAAAATTTAATTTTCAAATAAACACTCGTAAAGCATATTATAGATCGTCAGCCAGAATATGGTAGACTTTTAATGAGCTTGGAGTTCCACAAAATATATCTATGGTGTTATGAGAAGATGGGAAAACCACAAACTCAGTTATTAAATTTATTTTAAATTGCGGCTTCTTTTCTACTTTAACAACACAAGTGGATTTTTTTTTCACTTTAGTGATTTCACGGTTATAAACAATAGCGTAAACATCTGACTACAAAGTAAACCTAATCTAGAAAAAAATTAAATGTAACATTATAAATATGAATTGATTGAATGTGATTTAACATAAATTCAATATTTATTCTTTTTATTAAAGATATGAAATTTTTAAAATAACACAAAATTGTTTTATATCTGTAGAGTCATAATTAACTCCTTGTCACTTCCTAAATAGGTACTTGGTTCAAATAAATTAATTTCTGCAATAGAAATAACCTTTAAATGAACTTGTTTCATATGTTTAATAAAACAGATTTTTGTAGTATCAATTATGAATCTCGAAACATGTTTAAGGAACTATCCATAAATGTGAAATCACTGAAGTGAAAAAAAAAAAAATTTACTGGTGTATTTAAAGTAGAATAGGGCCAAATTGTAAATTATTATGAAAGATTTTATAATCTAGAGAATCTTAATTCTAATCTTTTATTGTTCCTTCTATTTTTCTGAAAATTATTTTTGTTCATTTATAATTTTTAAGTTATTCTCTTTTTTTTTTCTTTGCATTCTTCCTATTGTAATTTGTAAATTATAAAAAACATCAGGTATTAATAATAACCATGATATCCTAAAACACTACAAAACAAACAAACATTCTCTGCAACACCCCATAAAATCGAGAAGGAGGTGGATGAAGGATCTCTTGTGAATACAAACATACTAAGAGCATATGTGCAGGGGTGCCCATCCAGCCCCCAAGGCCAATATAAGGCCATAAACCTTCTCACACCCCTTCTAACAGGATATTTCATTGTTCTGGGCTTCTTACACATCCTGCGGCCTATACCATGCTTTTACTTATTTTTTTATTTGAAACTTTTCATTTTGAAAATTCACAACCCCGTCAAAATATGCTCCCTCAAAAATTAAAACCCCATCAATATTTGCTCCCTTATATAAATATTGATAGCGCAACTTGCGCCATGAAACCCCCTTTTGAGCACCCCGAATACTGCATATGTGGTACCATTCCATAAGATTTTTTTTTTTTCATTATTATGACAAGTGATTTTAGTACTTTAAGTTTCATTTACTGATAGTCAGTTGGCTTGAAAGTAATGAATTTAACAATGAAAAAAAAAATTCTATTTTATATCATAAATTTGGAAGTGATCTTTGGATTAGAAGAATATTGAGAAAGCTAAAAATAAAAAAAAATTTGTTTCAAATAAAATAGATTTCATGGATGATAAATATTCAGGATGCAGTCATTATGAAATTTTTTTATTTGTGCCGACATATCAACCCAAACATGTGGGTCATCATCAGGACATGGTTCGAGCACTGAAATCCTTCAAGTACTCAGTAATAAAGTTGAAGTAATAAGTTGAGTACTTGAAAGCTTTCAGTGTTCGAACCACACCCTGATGATGGATGGTTGAAACGTCGGCATAAATAAAAATTTTTCATAATGCCTGCATCCTAAATATTTATAAAATCCTTCAATAATTTATAAAATAGATTTCCTCATAAATTTCAAATCAAGACAATCTTGGACCCTATGGCAGTGGAAGAACAACCAGTTATTATAGCAGGCTAAAAAATTTAAAACTCATTAAACTAATTTAAGTCTATAATACTAACAGAATTGTTCATGTAAAAAAAGATGAATGTAATAATCCAAAAGGAAAAAAGTTCTATTTATTAATCTATTTACAAACAATTAAAAAAGTTATGGTTGTTGAGAAGTGGAAATGACTGGAAGAAATGCATATAAAAACAGGAAGGTGGGAGGGAACCTCCGGTTGCTAACCACTGCCCCAGGGCCTTCTAAATCAGGTAATGTTAAAGGGAACTCACAGGAGGTGCTGGGCTGATCTGAAGTGTATTCATGTGAGCAGACAGCTGCCTGATAACTGGTGCGTACTGGACTGTATTTGGATCAGCGCTTTGCATCATCTGTTAAACACATATGCTACTCTTATCACACAACGTTAAATATTCAAGAATTATTTTTAAAATATTCTTAATACATTTAAAACCTCTCAAGCACATGACATAAGTAATAAAAATATAATTTCACTATAATATTACCTCATAAATAAAACTAATGGATAAACTATACAGATATCACAATCATTTGATAGAAAATATTAGAAAATTACTAAGGAAGGCCATTACTTTATACTTAGTGAATAGTACAATATTTGACAGAATCGAATACCATTCTTATTATGGCTTTTTCTATAACATAAATCAGAAAAATTTTCTCAGACCAAAACAATCTACTTAAGTTAAATTTTTCAATACTTGAAAGTTAACAAAGAATGGTATAAACCTCAACTTTAGTTATTAGAGTTGTTAATTACAAAAACATAATCATAATAAATTAAAAAAAAAGAGGTAAAATCATGAAAAAAACAGTTCCTGAGTAAAGATGATAATTTAAAACCAACTAGTATAATCAAATATAAAAAAAAAAAATTATGAATTTAAATGATTATTTTTACACTTAAAAGACAACTTATAAACTTTTGCTATAAAGAAATCCTCTCCGCTGAAATTTGCCGTTGAAGATATATCACATATAAAGGATAATATTTATGCCAAGTAATACTAATAAATTTAATAATTGTGAATAGTTTGTTGATTAGCAAAATTCACAAATACAATTAATTAATTACATTTACTAAGTAAATAATATTTACTGAAAGAAAGAAAATGCTTATAATAAAATTAAAATATTAAATTAAATTAATATAAAAGAGCAATTTGCCCAAAAAGAGACAAAGTGATTAGGATATAAATGGGAAAATTCCAAACCATTAAGTAAGCCTTGTCTCAAACACTACATTTAAAAAAATATATATTTCTTAATAAAATAAAAAAAACGAACAATTAAATTGAGCAATAAGCATACCTCAACTCCAGACATATGCGGGGTTGGCTGCATGACCGTGTACTGTGCGGGTAGCATGCTGTGTGCCCAAGAAGTTGGAAGGGGGTAGCTCGAGACCTGAGCTTGGTAACTGCCGTAACCAGTCAGCGTAGCGGGCAACATATGTTGAGTAGCAACTCCGTTCTGGCTCGACCCATCGTAACCCATCTGCCCACTCTATAATTAGAAAACAAGATTACTATGTTATTGAATGTTATCTCAAATCAAATCATCAAATCACATAAGTTCTGCAATTAACTAATTGAAAAAACATAACAACATAAAAATTTATATTTTACTCGTATTAACTAGTATTTAGACAAAACATTATGTTTTGCTTTATCCCTTTATAAAACTTTTTAGGTTAAAAATAAAAATAGTTGAAAACATTTTTGAAAGTCATGAAAATTAATTATTTACAAAACTTAGAAAAAAGAAAAGGAATTTTTCAAATAATAAAATATTACAAATAAATAACTATATAAATGAAGTGAAAAGAACAAGATCTTGGCATCAAACACTTACATCAGTTCCTTCTCTCCACATTCTTGCGTCATTTCTGTATAAATTACGTTTTTTCTGTCCACCATCAGCGAACTTTACTAATAAAGCATCTTTGCATCCAGGAAGAGGCTTTCCATTGAATGCTTGAATAATCTGTTCACATTTATCTTTAGATTCCATCCTAAGAAAACAATTATTAACATGAGTATTCGGTATATTTGGACAATATATTCACAAAAGATTAAACATAGCATAGAATTATGTTGGTACGTATTAATTTTATAAGGATTTTTTTTTTTTTAATTTTAATGAAATTTACAACTGTATTACATAAAAAATACAACAAGTAAATGTGACATTGGTAACATGACAAGAAACTACCCATTGGTAGAACTCAAATTAAAGTTCTATATTAGAAGGTCCCGAGGCCATCTTCTTTTCAGAGATCGAGGAGGAAGCAAGCTTTGAAACAAGTAGGTTCGGATGGTTCTGCAATTTGTTATGGAAGGATAGGTATCTGGATTGGGCCAAATAGGAAACATATGGAACATTAAGGTCTTTATGGATGATTTTATTTATGACAAAGTAAGGAGCGTTGAGGATTTTACGAAGGATTTTGGATTTTAGGGATTGGATACGAGAGGAATTCAATGTTTTAGTGGAGCCCCAAAGCTTAATTCCAAAAAGGCCTTATTATTGTCTATATATGAGTCGTTTGTAATTGATTGAAAGCTTAAGAGTGTTTGTCTCGTCGAAGCTGCAGTAGTCGAAAACGTCGGGCAGTTTCTAGTCGTTTCAGTCTGGTAGGGGGGTATTTTATGAGGGTACGATGAGAAATAATGATTAGACTATAATTACAAATTATCGAAGCAAATCTGTGCATACTTGCAGAGCCTGATTAATACATGGCATGACCTATTAACAAGAATATAAGGATATATGTTAATTTTTTAAGTTTGATAGATCTTTAGTGCATCGACAAGGGTTAGAAATTAAATTTAATATTTTCCATAATCTAATAACATCATCAATAACGAGGTCCCAATAAAAATCATTTAACAGGCATTTAATTAGAAAAAGGGTCATGAGCATCAACAAAAATTATGGTAAATACAAAAATAGCTAACCTTGTCTAATGAGATGAGGTGTGTGCATCATTACAACTAATTTTCTAAGAACACTTTACTATATCAATATAATTTTATGAACATAGTGCAATTATCAGAAATTCAAATTCCTACAGGGGGATGTTCATATTAAAGGCATTTGGAAAAGCTGTTTGCAATTGAAGATTAAAACTCAATAAATACAAACCATATTATTAATTGAAAACATATGTTTTCCTTCTTATCTACACCCATACTTCCTCATTCCTCTTAGAGTTTACAAGAAAACAATTTTATATAATAGGAACTGTTGCCCATCAAGACCAAATGCTGCGTTTTTTTACAATTATTCTAGCTTTTGAAAATAGAAGATGAAGTATTCATGAACACTAATTTCATTATTTTGGAGGGTTCGAATGAGCTGAGGAAATCCTCTAAAATTTGACTTCGAAGGCATGCATCTTAGGTTGGATATTTGTTTCTGAAAAAACTCTCCATCTACTTTCTTTTATTTTTCTCTTCTTTTTTTGAGAGTGTAAGTATGATTTACTTGAGGGGGTCAGACTATTGAAGGCAAGATTTCTGAAATTACACTGTACCATATCTATAGCTATCAAATACCACAACAATTGTTTTAAATTCCTGTAGTACAAATGTTTAAGGGAAACAATAATGAAAGGACAGAGCATAGATTTTGAAAATCATGTCAATACATATTATTATTTGCACAAGTTTTTTCCTTAAAAGTACACTGTTTCTCTCTACATAAATGAAAATGAAGGTTATAATTAAATATGTTCTAATAGTCAAAATGAATTAAATAAGTACAAAAAATGTAAACCCTTTTATTTTTTGTTCATAAAATTATTTTTAATGGAGTTAATCACAGTTAATAGGTTTAGTGGTGAATTTATAAAATCAAGTTTCAAAATTGATTGAAGTGATAAGAGATGGACCATCTCCGTATGACAAAAGAATGCTTATATAAAGTTCTTTGTATCACAAAGATGATGAGCAACACTTGGTACAGTTTAGGCTCAGGATGGATATCAAGTACCTCCTTTTGACATCATGTCATAATCAAGCAGTGGATAGATAAATATTAGAATTGTATATGTAAAAAACCATTGAGGTATTTCTGACTTTGTACAGTATTAACTGCACAGAACTTTGAAGGAGGGAGAAGGAGGAAGAGATGAGACCATAATCCCTGAACACTCAATTTTGTAACTCAATAACACATATTTCTAATATTTTATTATATATGCAGTATTATATTGTAAAATTACACTGTTCTTACCTTGCGAATCCAACGCCTTTACTTGTTCCTGTAGTATCTTTGAGAATCCTAGTGGAAATAACGTGTCCATACTTCAGAAGTAGATTCTCAAGGTCTGTCTCTTTATAATTTAGGGGAAGATTTGCAATATATAAGTTAGTAGGGTCTTGTTCTTGTTGCTGCAGAACAAAACAAAATACCAATTAGTATGATCAAAAATGATAAATAAAACTTTAAATACCATTATATAAACTAAGTATATAGGGTATTTTAGATTTTTTTTTTAACACATAAAACTATTTTGATCACAAATTCTTATATTTTATTATAAATAGAAATTAATGAAAATTTCCATTTTTCAAACTAACAACGAGAAAAGTGTTAACTTCACTAACAAGCTGTATAACTCTACACATGATCTACATTTTAACTACAGACATAGGTAAGACTATTTCTGCAGATATTAGCTTTCTTATTTTCTACTGCTGTACTACAATAATGTTTTTTAATTTAAGAAATGAAACTACACTTGACCGTATAAAAATGCATATTTCTTACAAAAGTTAACTTCTTAAAAAATACAGTAATAGCTTTGCCATCTCAAGGAACCTTTGATTTATTTAAACAACTATTAACCATTTTCAATAATAACAATCATTAAGAATGCCGTTGTAGAAGTTAGTGTCATCCAAGACAGAAACATTTCTGTCTAAATATTATATTCACAGTTCTAATGGAATAATACAATACATCAGAACTTTTTCAGAATGGGCCTGTGGAAGGTAGAGTCAACTTCACACTAACGGAAATGAATATCTCTTCAAATAAAATGTTTAATACACCAACAAAAAGGTTTTAGGAAATCTTTCTCTCTATGTTTTGTAATCTTTCCCTCATTTTATTTATTTATTTATTTGTTATGAGATATTATTAACAAAAGTTACAAATCTATCAAGTCACAGTAAATGTAAGGCCATCATTAGAGCACACAAACCGCAGTTAAACTTAATAAATAGTCCTGCAAAATTATTTATTGATAGCCACGTCTCAAGAGGCAGGTTACACAAATAAGAAATGCATATAGGTAGGTCTCTTAATTATAAATACTTTTAGAATGAATCAAGTCCACACCTAAAATTAGAGAGGAAAGAGAAAAAATTTAAATAAGATAATTGGACAAATTATTCTGTAGGTCTTATATCTATGAAGAATTATAGGGCATAGATAAGAACGACAATTCATCTTCATCATGGACTTTTAGTTTTTTGATCCTTTTTGGTAATCCAATGAAAAATAGCAGATGCAGTATATAAAAAAAAATGCAGAAACATCTGTTTCTTAGATTTATAATTTTCATTTTTATATATAAAAACTGCCATTCCGTTTAATTTTTAAAATATGCAAATCAGTGACATAATAATCATTGAGAAGTTAATGATTGAATAAAAACAAAAATAATTACTTAAAAAACTCAACCACAAAACTTCCAAGGTGATTATTATTATGATTGATTATTATTTCAAAATTGTAAATAGTCATGACGACCAAATTCTAGATTAAATTACTTTTAAATGGTCAATAGATTATATATTTAGTTATTTATTTAGAATTGATATAACAGTCCAGGCTTTTGATATGTAACATCATCAAAATAATTTAAATTTGATTTTAAAAGAAGAAATAACACTAAAAACATGGAGGCATTTTAATATAAAAAAGAAAACATTTTTTGACATCAAAGCTTTTCCTGTATTTCAACCAAAGTTTGTTTAAAAATATATTTGACATGAATAAGGAAACATAACACTGAAACTATAATATAATATCCATCACTTGTAAATGAATGACCAATAGAGAATAAGATTTTGAAAAAACCTTTAAAATATAGAGACTATTTCGTCCATAATTTTAAAATGTTTACAATATCTTAAAAACTACATCGACCGATAATTTTTTTTTCAGATTTTATAAAAAATTCGAAATGTAAAACTGACTTAAAGTGTTAGTAATTGAAAAGAAAGTTAGTTATTTTATGGATTCCTCCACCAGTGACAATAGTAAACTATCCAAACAATTATTTATTCATGCTCCATAGCAGTAAAGCTAAGACGTAAAAATGCTAATCATCAATTTACAGCGGCAAAAAGCTTAGCTGGGGTATAAACATTTGGGGACAACACTCATATAAAATTGAGACAAAGCTAAACTATTTAATAATATATACATAAAAATTATTTAAATAGTACACTTAAACTACATGATATGAAAAAAAAGAAAGAAAAACGGAACAAACACTATGAAAAATGTTAATGTTTTCTAAATTAGGAAGAGCGAACTTTAAACACACAGAAACTTGTTACGGTTTTTATCAAGAAAATAGAGAAAAACAAAAAGGATTAGCGAATTGCTCGAGTCAACTTTAGCCAATATATGCAATCTCTAAGCTGCTCCGAAAATAATGAAAATTCATACTTATCAGCGGTAGATTTGTTAAAATATAATTGTAGGTAAAATTATAGAATACTGAGACATAAAATACGTTGCCAGTAAATGTATGAATAAAAAGCCTTTACTGTTTTTAACATGTTATCAAACTCCAATGATTCGAGCACTGAAACATTAAAGCTCAAAGGTAAGTAGACAAGTGATAGAGAAAAGGGTCATTAATTATCTACATTAATTAATAATTAGTAATCTACAGCTACTATATTGTAGATCATTTGGATCGGCACTGCAAACATCTTATTTTATGTCATAATGACTTTCTCGTAAAAACAAAACAAAAAAAACAATCACAATAAATAAAAATGCTATTTTAATAGACTAATTTAAAATATCAAGAGCCACACAGATACACACTTTTTGTTTGCACAAACTGTAAATAAATTTTTCATCCTAATATGCCATAACAAAAGATTTTAAGGCATAAATGAAATAATGATAGATCAGAAATTCAATGTACAAAATATTAAAATCCTGACAAATGGGGTAATTAACAAATGATTTTTAATTTGTAAGATATTGCTCCCATATTCTTTTATAATAAAATAATTACTAAGTTACAATATCAGAGACCAAAAGATTAAAAGAATATTCCTACTTAGACCCATTATAAATACTAAATTCCTAAGGACTTGGGTTTCAAAAGAATGATAAATTGAATTTTAAAAATAAATAAAAGTATAATTAATAGAGATTATGGTTAGCTTTTAGCATTTAAAGTTGTAGAGACAATAAATGTATTACTGTTTACATCACTATTAGAATACAAACGAAAAAATCAAGACAATTTTAGTTACAGCTAAATTATGTTAGCTTGACTAATTGGAAAGATCTACAAATAGAATAGTCAGAAGCCATAATAAATATCGTAGTTCGACTACATTCTTAACTTATAAATATCATCTTAAAATTGATTTGTTGAATAACTTTTTGTTCTAAAACATTTGAACCTTTTTAAACAATAAATATAATCTGTTTAGGGAGAACTAATTTTTAATTCAAGTATTGGCACTACCTCCTATTCTTAGCATGGTTCCTTCGAAGAGCCACATACGCACAGCATTCCATTGGATGTTTGCTACCGTCTAAGGGCGCCCAACAATAATTATCCACATTAACATGACAAGCCAGTGGTTCTTTATAAATTACATGCTTGTATTTCATTTTATATTACATCAAAAGTATTAATTACTCATGCCTATTAGTATTAGTAAGTAAATTTTATATTGGCTATTTTCTAAGCTGTGGAAGTTGTATTTTTAAAAAATAAATATACAATAACATTAGAATTATTAAATAACTAAGCAGTAGACAACACAATAAGGAAAATGAATTATTTTGCAGAACCCTTAAAAGAACTTGTTATGACATAAAGTAATTGCATATCAATAATTTGATGATTTACATGTCTAAAATCCCAAGCAGAATAATATCTGTACCGTTTTGTGCAAAAGCGCATATTTGTAAAGCATAATAATCTTTGCGAGTGCCGATCCCAACAATATGTATGTGCGTGTAAATGTGTGTATACTGTGGCAAGGGTAGGTGTGAATATGTCTAGATCATAACTTTCATCGTTGTGCCATATTATGATAGTATCGGAAAATAGTGTTCGAATCAATTAAAATTAAACAAAAGGAAGACAACAAAAATAATTGAAGTTATTAAAATTAGACCATAACTTTCAGCAAAGATTTTAATCACAAAGCAAATAAATTGGGTTTAAAAAGATCAGCCAGTCTTAACATACACTATGACTAGCTATAAAAGATTTTCAGGAACACCAACAATTAAAGAAAAGATTATTAAAGCAACGTTATAACATATTAAACAATATCGAGTTCATCAGTAAATCTGAAGGTTTAATGATGAACTCAATTTGATTTTTTTTTTTATTGTTTAATTTATTAGACAGGAAAACTAAAAAAAAAGATACAGAAGTGGTTAATGTTTTTTTTTTAATATGTTCTTGATGGTGTGTTAAAGTGAGCTTTCCAAATCTGTTATCAGTAAATAAGTTAATAGATAAATTAACCCGACTTAAAACCAGCAAACCTGGTATAGTGAAATTTTCAATAAAAAATGAGGCAATAATGTTTAATATAAAATATTAAGTTTATTGTTATTTTAGTTGATTAATTAGAATTGAACAATTTTTTCAAGATTATCACAGAAAATTAGAGATTAGAAATCTCTATAAACAGAATTATGGTAACAAAAAGTAAAGAAAGCTTTTGTATTGTGATGACGATTTATTGAATTAAAATAGAATGCGATTAGTTAAAATACAAATTTTCTTTTGAAATTAATAATTATACTTGATTTTATCTGTCATCTTTGATTCAGTAATATACCAACACGGTTCTTAATATAAATAACGATTATGGCAGAATGAAAAATTTTTTGGATTATACCATCAGCTTTTGTATTATATTTGAGCATTTTTATTAGAGTTAGACAAAGTTGCTCATTAGTGGGATTGACAATGCACGGAAACTACTAATTATAAATTTTAAAAATTATTATTTATGCCATTTTTATATAACAGATACAAATAGTAACATGGCAAAAACGATGATATTGTGTAATGTTTGTGCTGAGTGGGAGTCAGTGTTGGTTAATAAGTGATACTCAAGGTAGATAGATAGATAGAGAAGTACTTGCATGCAACAAACGTACAGTGGTCGGGCTACGGAGCAGTGTGATACCCACTTTGGCCATCTGAGCTTGTACCCCCTTCGCCTGGAGGGCTTTCACTGCAGTTTCGGCACAATCTCCGCTCTCGAAGTCAACAAAACCATAACCTGCAACAGTACAACCTCTCCTTCTCACTAACTCACTCTCTCTTGCCCTCACTCATCAGAAATAAATAAAACAAAAGTAATAAATCAACATATCCATCTCTCTTAAAGATTAAAAAAAAGTTCATTTATTAAAACATTAATACAATTTTAAATAGATTAAATTTTAAGTATAAAAGACACTGCTTCGAAAATAGAAACAAATTAATGATTTTATAACAACATTAATAAATTAACATAGAATTATTTTGTAAACAATTAAAAAAAAATGAGTAAGCTATGTATGAAATAAAAAGTGAGAGATAAACACATTGGAGAAAATAAATTTTAAAAATTTGTAGTCCACACAAGCTATATCATTGCTGTTTAAGTAATCTCTATATGTGAATATAGCAAAACGAAATTTATAATTTAGTAGGATATGGAATCAAATAAATCTAATTTATAAAGAAACTTATAATCATTCATTATCCTACTTTTAAAATCACATACATAAAGATAAAGAAAAAACAATTTTCATTAAGAAACTCACTTGATATATACAGGGCAGTTCAGTTCTTACAAACTATACTTCAAAAGCAAATAAAAGGATAGCATTCTTTATAATTCAATTCCAATTATTAATTTTTTTTTTAAATAGGTATTTTAATCTTGAGTAATATTACCACATCAGAAATTTTTGAATCACAGAAGTATTAAAAGATAGATTCTGGGTCTGCTACATGTGTGGACAATTCATCCCACAGATAAGTTATCAAATCATCAAGGGTAGATATGAAATTCATTTTGGCCATTCAAAATATTGGATTGAACTGTTTTACTTCAGAGCTGATAAAAATATCAACTTAAGAAAAATTGCCATACAGAACTGAACCACATCACTGTGTAAGAAATTAAAACTATAATACTTCATTTTCAAGTTAATTTATTATTAGCCATATTTACACCAATTTAAAAAAAATTTTGTCACTTAATGACTACTCATCACAATGACGACGTTTCGGCTCATCGAGCCATTTTAGGTACATAATAAGAATCTTTATAATTTGAAATATGTTAAAGTTAATATATGATTGTAAATGAAAAAATTTTTTTAGACTTGAAAATGGCTCGACGAGCCGAAACGTCGTCATTGTGATGAGTAGTCATTAAGTGACAAAATTTTTTTTTAAATTGGTGTAAATATGACTAATAATAAATTAACTTGAAAATAAATAGTATGCACCGAAAAAGAATTGAGTAATATTGTGTATAATAATTCAGTTTTAGTAATTTTGTGCATGATGTAATGACAGTAAAATATAAATTAATATCAAATTTTCTTATGTAAAATGTTATCAGGTTCATCTCAAACAATAAAATAAAGAATTTAATTTTAGCCATTAATAAAACAAAAATAATTAAAACAAATTAATAATAAAAAATAATGTAAGAACATTTGATTTAAACAACTTTTAAATAATTGATTATAAAATTAATTTGGAAGATTGGGAAATCTGATTTCTCTTTTAGCCAGGCACACAAGTCATTTTAGCATGAAAGGCGATTCTTTGAAGACGAAGCAGCCTTGCAACGTTCATCGCTTACGCCGCAGTTTGCATTTCATAATAAACATTTAGCTATTTAACAAAAAACACATCAAAATAATTTCGAAATCCATTCTACGTTACCTTTACACTTATTTGTATTCTTATCAAGAATGGCCTTGGTGGATATGATTGTACCAAATCTGAAACAAAAATAACAATATTATTATGATGAAAATATGTACATTTAAATAATTAAAACACTTTGATGAAAAATAAATAAATAAAATAACATAATTGCGGCCAGAATCATTATGTGATTTGTTGGTTTTTATTTGTATTTTTAATTCTTAAACAAGAACAGAAAAGAAAAAAGCCATGGATTTCACTCATCAACTTTTAGAATTCATTGATAACAAATTAAATACAGAGCTGTCATACTTTAAATAAAAATAAAAATACTTTTAATCAGAGGGTCCAAACAAATGACGACAGAGGTAATCACAATTGATCATAATTTCATATAATTTCCTTTGAGCAGACTTAGAAAGAGCCTTTTCACATTTTTGGATGAAACTGGAAACCTTGGAACTATCATTAATAGTTAATGATTGCCTACAGTGCTACACCAATGACCAACACTCTTAGGTTTTCAAGATAAAGTACAAGCTCATAAAGAGTCTCAGCGGTAAGCATTGATGAGGTGTATAATTCTTGACTTCATACTATTCTTAAAAGACAATACCATCAACATTGTCAACACTCAGAATACCTGATTTAAGCCTTGATGAGCATCAGGCATAGAATGCAACAAAGATTAAATGTATCCAGATTGATAATTCCTTGATTTATGATACAAACAACAATAGTTGGAACTGTTGTAGCAGTTAAGTACAAAAGTTCAAATATCTGAACAATCAGATCTAACAATCTATTGGTTAAGAAAATAAACACCAGTGATATGTTTGTAATTGCAAAATCCAGGAACATGGCATTGTGGCTCTTACTAATTTTACATTGAGACAATATTTTACAGAGCCAACAATAGTACTTTTATAAAATTCAAAATACTCACTGCGAGCACATATTGTAGAGCTCCTTATCAGTCGTTGAGGGGTTGAGCCCATGGATGTAGAGATTAGTCTTGGATAGCTGTTGCTCCCCTCCTTGGCCACCCATGTTGTTCGATAGGCTAGTAGACAACGTCCCGCTTTGGGAGCCAGTATTCGAGCTGGAGCTCGAGCTAGTGTTAGCCGGAGAGGATGCAGTCGGCACCCGAGGGGTTGTGAACTGCAAAAAATGGGGAAAAAAATTATTATAATTACGTGGTTTGGTATGAATCTGATTAGTATTAAACTCTTAAATAAAATTTAAACTAATAAAATGAATTTTAAAGCATAAATGAAGCTTAATTATTTCCATAAAAATATAATACAGTTTTTCACACTCCTGGAAAGTTGACAAAATTGAGATACATTATATTATCTATGCAAAAAGAAAATATAATATAAGTAAAACAACTGAGAAATTAATGTTCTGATATTGAATCCGGGCTAAAACTTCACTGAATAAAACAGGTTAAAACACTACAAAATAAGTATATCTAAGAATCTATGAGATTTAATCAAATTAAATAGTGTGAAACAGAATACATATTTAAACATTATTTTAAAGGATACATTTAAGAATTATAAGTTAGTAATAAAAATGATTGTTTCCTGACTAACTTTATAGTAAACTGATGTTTATTAATATAACTACTTTACATATTTGGTAAAATATTTAACATTTTAAATACTAAGGTATATAAACATATGAACAAACACTTCTTTCCCTTAATATATTTCATTTTATACGTCAGGTACGGGAATGTAATAAGTATATGAACTTTTAATTGATAAGAAAAATAAATATTCTTAATTACAAATATATATATATATATATATATATATATATATATATATATATATATATATATATATATATATATAATTTTATTTTTTCGGTTTGAGATACAGCCCATGAAGATCTTTGACCGCGAGATGTGGTCTCCTTACAGATGTATATTGCTTGGGAGCTCAGATAGTCTGCAGGAGATCACCCAACCTCATGTTGCTACGAACCATGGTCTCCATGGTGCAACGGCAGGCCACCCATAGCTCCCTAGCAGATCCCTTTGGAACCAGACTAATCTGTCAGTGTCTCTCCCTCCGACTCACTAAGGTTCAAGAAGAGTGACGAATCTGTCTACATCCATGGATTATGGCTGCTCAAGAGTGAGCAGGCACATGAGGACCTATATTTCTTTCCCAGAAACAGAACCTCAGGGAGGATACTGACATCCTGTTTACCACATCCGGATTCCAGATTTAATTAAACAGAGTAGGATCATCAGTCCTATGCCCATTCGGTGTTAGTTGCCTCCAATAGGCTGATGGACCTCACATACCAGGGGGGGGGGGAAGTCTTGGGCAGCATGACTTTCTCTGGTGGTGTATCTTAACTTTGATTAATTACACACAACACACACACACATTGTTATTTAAAAAAAAAAACAAGTTCCATCGTGATGGTGATGTTTGTAAGGAGGAGTACCGGAGACAGGTAAAATTTGATAATTTAAACTATAGATTGTTCCGACAAGAAGAAATATGTGCAGTTTGCTCATGACACCAAATAAATGAAATTAAATTTAAAAACTCGTCATTAACTAGAATCGTAGTTTATATGTTGTTCTTTTAAGAGCTGGCAGTGTTCCATTCAGTGTGTACGCCTGCACCACTTCAAAATGGCCCCTGATTCGACGCCAAACTCCCTCGGGAACCAAAGGGTCTGAAGTTTTATTAGCTGGCATAGTTCATCCAACGCCTCTTCAAAGGCGCTCTTCCTCTCTTAAGAGATTTTTTAGAGATCGTCCATGTTTATAAAGAGTTGTAGGCCATTGATCATTCTGGTATCGTGCCAAACTGTAACCCCTTTCTTGGAGGAAATTAAACGGAAAACAACATGGAAAAGAAATAACCATTGAATTTGTTACATATTTTTGAGCAGGCGCAGTACGGTGGAACGAAAAACACTTTTCATGGAATCTAATAGTATTCAAAAAGTACCTTTTCATATCATAACTAAAGTATAAAACTTTAATCTGTATTTATATCTTGAATTTACGCTAGAGTCTTAAAAATGAGAATAAGATTTTTGTACTAAAAATCAAATGTTTTCCTATTGTTTTAAATAACTATCCATAGACCCTTCCCTTATGTACTATAAATAACAATGATATTAAGTTTGGATGCTCTAAATTTATACTCCAATTATTCGCAAAATTTAAATAAATGGACGGATAAAATAAAAATCGTAGTGTTGATGAGTTGAATTCATTAATCAAATTTTACTTTTGAAACGTTGTTTAAACACAGTTTTTAAAATAATGAACTACATAAAACAATTGAATGGTGTTAGTAATTAACTTACTAATTGTTTTATGTTAAACTAATTAAATAATAAAATTATTTTAATGATTGATCATAATTATGACATTCATTTGTTTAAAAAAATCTTATTTTTAAGTCTCTTTCAGAGTCTCAAATTATAAATTATAATATTTTTTAACGGTTCGATTTAACTATAAGAAACTTGTCCGCCGAAAAAAAAAAGTTTTTCATTCCACCGTAATGTGCCGATGTGAACATCTGCGTTTTATTAAGTACAGTGATATATTTCCCAGAAAAGGTTCTTAGACATTCATACTTTACTGGAAGATACACTCGGGACATTTCCGAGTATAGTAGGTCCTAGAAGTAGGGAACCGAAAGGTTAAGTTGTAAAACATCAGGTAGTCAAAAGGTAGCGAGTGAAGTTTTCGGACTTCTCTAACCAATAAGTTAAATAGGTTCTGGAGCCTAACAAAACCATTTCTAGCAACACCCGACATTCCCATATAGAATGCTACACAATAACAAATAATTAAATTGCTTCAAGCGATAAAGCAAAGGATGAAGATAAACCACAAACACGCATCAGTTGATACGATAAACTAATTAATTCTGGCGGAAAATTCCGTAGTGTTCTCTCTCATTCGGTCAAATACCACCTTTCATTATACTTGATTAAGATTATGGTTTATTTCAATCCTTTGAAATAATAAACAAAGCATCATTTTTTTGATGAGAATAAGTCATGATTGAGGAGAATAAGTCAAAAACAGATACGAACATAACAATTTCATTTGATTACGCTTTGTAGTCATTTTGGAAGAATTATATACACTTAAACAACATAAATTCCTACTCAAAAGATTTTTCTTAAACCTTACCATCATTTTCGAGACTTTTAATAATGATTATTAGAGATATTTTTTTTAAAAATAATTTCAAAACAATTTTTAAAAATTGAAAATATATATATATTGACGAGCAATTGTTTTAAGAATTGAAATGAAGTCTTAAAGCATAGCTTACTGATCCAGACACCATTAGTATTGCAAACCATAAAATAACATCAATGTATTCTAGATATGACACATCCCACTTCAACATCCTAATGAAGAACAACCAAATACCTATAAATAGTACACTACTTGTAAACAGTCTGACATGAATATAATTTTAGTAATATTGAATACTGGACAGTTGACCGTTGCATTATAAAGGAAGAAGATGGTCCGGGGTGGCGGTCATAAATAGGCTAAATAGAGGCAAAACTATTTTATTAAAAGTCAACGTTTCGACCCGACTTTGCAGGTCTTCTTCAGGGAGGTGTGTTCAGCTAGAATGGCTTTTAATAAAATACTTTTGCCACCATTTAGCCTATTTATGACCGCCACACCGGACCATCTCCTCCCTTTAATTTTAGTAATGATTCAATCATTAAGTTCTCGTAGTCCATGGGATTCGGATTCATGCATCTTTTTATCAAATAATTAATATCAGTCTAAAAGTTCTTGAATAGCTTAATCTAATCATAACCTACTTACAACTTATTTATTCGCGAAAATTCTCGGCATTGGGACGTTTTCAATCTGGAGATTTCCAAACTTAGTTTACTCAATTAGGTACTAAAAACTCATGAACACCCAGTTGCTTTCCACTGAAATCTGAAAAGATTGGGCCGTATCAAAATAACGAGGTTATATAGACCAAACTGCACAATGTTAATGTAAGCCTTCTCTTTTTGATATTTTTTTCCGTATTTCTGGATATATTTATTTTTTCTTGTTAAATTAACTAAGTATTCCTATTTTTGATTTATTTAGTGATGTTCATCATCATGGTTCCTTTACAATGGTTAATATGGTAAAATTTTTAAGAAATATAATAATAATTATTGAAAATTTAAAATATTTGTAATTGCGTTACAGTTTAAATCGCTACTTTAATGAAAACACTAATATTAATTTCTTTTTTTGTCTTTCGCTAACCTTAAAGTACTGAAGTGGATATAGGGAGTAACACTTTTTAGTTCTTAAAAACTGAAATTGATTTAAATAAATACATTAGATAAATACCCACATGTATCGCCAAAGTGTACCACTACTAACACCGATATGAACCAAATCTTAATTAAACATATTCTTGGTAAATAATAGTTAATAATCCATTTATAAATTATTTTAATGTACACAAAATTTGAAAATTTATATTGAATTTTGTACGCAATTTATTAAGAATTTTCTTTTTGATCTATAATAATACACAAAATGATACATTATAATAATATAATACTAAATTTTACATATAGCTATATAATATAAACTATATATGATAATATATTATATTCCAATTTATTAATATAATATTAAATTTAATATAATATATTACACAAAATAGGTTTACGAATAATAATATTAAGAAGTAAAGAGAAAATTATTTAGAGGAATTAAATTGAAACATGAGTCATGAAGAATTTCGCCCTTATCTATTGTAATTGTTCTTTTCATATTTATCTAATCTCATTGGAAAAGTGCCTTACAGATAGCTAGATAAATATTTAAAATTATCTTTAGAGCTATTTCCGGTACCCTTCACATAACCATCAGCTAGCTACTTTACTCTAATTCTATTGTCTCAATTGTAAAAAAAAAAATAATGACTTTTTATTGAAACGATTTTAATGCAAAAAATAAATAAATAAAATGATGTAATCAATAAATTATAAAAATAAATATAAATTTAAATTAATATAGTATTATAATTACAGTTTATAATATAAGCAAAAAAAAATAAAACAATATAAATTAAAAATCGAGCAGTTTGTATTATGTAATGCTATGTTAAAAGATATGGCCATGG